ATATATATATATATATATATATAGTTAAAATATAACTTTTATTTTTAAAATATATTATTTCTAGAAAATATGTATGTGTAAAATGGTAGTAAGAACAAGTGTCTGGACTTTGCTCCAAATAGATTCTTCACTGTCTAAGAGTTAATTTACATGAAGTTTTAGGAAAAAAAATGAAGAGTTGTGCTAATTTTACTCTTCCAATATGTTAATTGATTTTGTTTCTGCAAATCATATGATTTAATCCTCTGTGAACCTTAACTCACCCACCGGTTTTGTTTGCACAAAGTTTGTAGCATAATTATATACAATGAATACAATTCTTGTAAAATATTAAGTGATTTGTTGTGTATTTGTTTGATGATGTAGTTTGCCAAGCATGTTTTTGGTGCTTCTAAGGTTGCAGCCACTGCTAGTACTCCGAAACTGGATTTATTGAGGAGCTTAGGAGCAGACTTGCCTATTGACTATACAAAGGAGAATTTTGAAGAACTGGCTGAAAAGTTTGATGTAGTGTATGATGCACTAGGTCAGATCTTGAAAATGAATAATAAACAAATTATATGCTTTAGTTTACATAATTAAGTTATTGGTATGAAGTATCCACTTATTTTAGACTAATTTCTGATAGAAAATATGATTGATTAAATTTAGTAAAATTTTTGCTTTCCATCATATTTTTTTCATACACAATATTAAAATTCAAAACTTAACTGAAGCAGATCAAGTTTAATTCTATTCAAACCAAAGATGTGTGGTCATGTACAATGCATACAACACTAATATATTATTATTGTTATTAATTTTGAAAACTAAGACATGGTTGATTCCAAAAACAGGTGAAAATGAGAAGGCATTGAAGGCTATCAAAGAAGGGGGCAAAGTTGTGTCAATAGTACAACCTGTGACTCCACCTGCTATCCCGTTTAGGGCCACTTCTGATGGTGCTGTGTTGGAGAAATTACAGGCTCACTTAGAGAGTGGGAAGGTGAAGCCAATATTGGATCCTAAGACTCCTTTTCCATTTTCTCAGACTCTGGAAGCATTTGCATACTTGAAGACAAACAGAGCCGTTGGAAAAGTTGTCATACATCCCATCCATAAACATACATAAACATGCATATATACCAAGTTCTGTTGTGCATTCTGACCTTAATTTGTGTTAATATGGCTAATATTAGTATATAAATTTGTGTTAATAAGGCTAATATTAGTATATGAATCATTAGGAGAAAGCACAACTAGCATTTTGTATGTTCCAATATAGTGTCAATTAATGCTTGTTAAGAGAGTGGTCGATTGGTAACAAATAAATCTCGTATATATAAATTTGTTCGAGACAATTTCACGTTTGATGAGTTTGGATTTGGATACTACAAATGATAGGTTAGACATGTGATCTCTCAAACAATAATCTCTACAAATAAATTACACTAAACTTGATTACACACACCTCTTTTTTTTTTTTTTTTTTTTTTTTTTTTTAATGTTTACTATAATCTCTTTTATAAGAGGTTAGTTACGATGTGATATTTTTTAAACAATTCAGGAATTTAATGTAATGAAGAGTGTTAGTGAAATGTTTTTAAATAATAAAAAGTACTAGTGTAGGAGTAAGAAAACTAAGAAATGTGTATGTAATCTAATAAGTGTATATGCTCAACAAGAAGCTCCACCAAAATCAATATCTATATCTATATTATAAACAATTAAAGGAAACACAAATCTATATTATAATAATAAACAATTAAAGAAAGTACAAATGGAACTTTTTATCAGTTCTCGACTTCTCAGCCACCTACAGAAAAGGAAATCTTTTAAAATTTATCTATTTAAGAAAGAAATGAATACAATATTGATATTTGAATTTTTCTTTGTCCAAAAACCATTTTTAAAATTTCAAAACTGAAACTCAAATGTTAAAGGGCAACATAAGACGTTAAAATATATATAAACAAAAAGAAATCAAAATCGCAACTTAAGCCTAAACAGGAAACAAAGCCCACAATCGTCTTTTCTCATAAAATGAACGGGTTTAAAATTTTGGTTTCAATAATATTTTTATTTTTTATCTTTTTAAAATTTAAAATCATTATTTTTGATTTTTATAAAATAGGTAGAATTTAGTTTTGGTCCTTATTAAAAAATGATATTTATTTTAGATATTTTAAATTTTTGTAGAGGTGTAACATGCTAATATAATATCACAAATTATATAATGTATTATCTAATTGGTAATTAATCTTTCGTTCAACACATAATAGTTAGTGTCAGATAATAATAAGACTAAAAAAAATGATTTTCAATTTTGAAGAGATAAAAAATAATAATTTTTTTACAAGAAATAAAATTAAGATTTACTTATTATACATAGATTAAACATATTTAGTCATAAGTTAATTTAAATTTATTAAAAATTCACAAATATTTCATACACCAGTTAGTAACTGAACTCATAATTGAATTGTTTATGGTCAATCATTCTCAATTAGTAGAGTTGAATAGGTCAACTAATGATCTAATATTTTTAGGATAAAATATCATTTAAGTTCCTAAAAATGCATGTCGATAACACTTTGGTCACAAACATATAAAAAAAATAAAATGATTTTTTGAAATTCTAATTATTTCATTTACTTTGTATTTGATTGAGGAGTTTTAGGAGGATAGTTAATTTTTTTTTTGGAGAACTTAAAATATACAAAATTAAAATATTTTGTTGAAATTTAAGAAGAAATTGAAAATTATAATAATTTACGAAAGTAGCTAAAATTGTAAAATTTTCAAATTCCACAAAAAAAAAAATATAGGAATTAAAATTTATGCATATTTACTTTTTCTCTCTTTTATCACCTCCATACCTTCCTTCTCTCCCTCTTTCATATTATTCTTCTTTTGTCCTCTCTTTTCTTCCCTCTCCCCTTCTCTTTTCTCTCTCATGTCTCCCTCCTCTCCCCTTCTTTTCCTCCTTTGTAGATTTAAGTAACACCAACACTCATAGGAGTCACAACAAGGAATTCAATCCTTCCACTATTAATCTACCTTGCAACTTATACATTCTTTGTTGGAAGTGAGATCTCCAAACATATCTCTCTTCTCTCCTACCTCATCCTATTTCTCTCATTTTGATGTAAAAAGTATCAATATTTTTTAAATTATTAAATATTTTAAATTATTTAATGTTAAAATTATTTTCTAATGCACCTATATATATAACTAAAATAACTATTTCAAATCGTAGTGTATTTTATACCTCATCTTTTAATTAATAAGTTTTTAGCTAGTTTTTTAAATAATTTTTTGGGAATTTCGTTTTCATAATCTCTTATCTTTAACAATATTTTTTTTTTCATCTACACATATATATAGACACACACATATATGAGAAAGATTCAAACAACCCTAGTGTAATTTTTACTAAATATTACATTTCTTAATAACTTTTATATTAAATGTGAATTTTGTAAATCTAACCATTAAATTATAACTTCATATTATTTTATATGTTTATATCAAATTTTGTTAAAAATTGAACAATAATTTAAAAGTAATTAAAGTATTCATATTTTATTATATTTTAATATATATATATATATATAAATATATATTACGTCAATTTTGTTTTATAAAAATGAAATATCAAATCAATTTGAATTAATATAAAATTTTGTATATATGATCTAATAATAAAGAACTTTCAATCTAATGGTTGAATTTACAAAATTCACATTTAATATAAATTTATTAAATAGTGTAATACTTAATAAAAGTTACATCGGTTTCATTTGAACCCTCCTCTCTATATATATAATTTCTATTCTTTTAAATTGATTTTAACATTATTTTCAAAAAATTAATAGTTAAAAATATTTTTTTTATCACAATATAAATTATTTATCACAAAATTAAAATATGATTTATATGCTCTAAAATATTTATTTATTATATTTTTATATAAATAAATATTTATTATGTTCATTGCGTAGATTAAAATTAAAATACTAATTCTTAAATATTTAAAAATTATCTATTATTTATTTTTGTAAAGTTTAATGTTAAAGTTTTAATCAAGAAGATATATCCATTTTCGTGTATAGTTTATTAAATTATTTTGTCCTTATAATTATTTCCACGGACTCTTTTGAATTTTCGTAAGTCTTTGAACTTGTCACATTCTCTAATTAATTTTTGTTATTTTTTTATTATTTAAAAAATATAGAGACACTATGTGTCTTTTCCTTCTAGTTCAAATAAAGCATTTAATAAGTGAAACTTTTTTTAAATCAAAGTAATTAAAATTATTTGATTTCTAATTCTTTGAAAATTTAAAACTTTTCATTTACACATCCTGAAGTTCTCAGACTTAACAACTTATTATCATTTTAATCCTTTAATATATGTTAATATTACTTTCATTCTATCTTATATAATGCAAACTAAATGCTTATTCACCCTAAACTAAATGTTTATCTACCACTACATATTAAATATGATCGGTTATATCTTACTTTAAAGTGTTTTTTTCTTTCTAGTTCAAATAAACATCTAATAAGTGAAATAAATTTAAATTAAGATAATTCAAATTTCTTGATTTCAAATTATCTGATAATTTAAAATTTTTCACAAACATAAGTTTAAGTTCTTAAACTTAACATCTTATTATCATTTTAATCTTTAAATATACTTTAATATTACTTTTATTTTAGCCTATGAAATGTAAAAATTAAATTTTTATCCACCTCAAACGAAATACTTATCTACCCATATATATATTAAATAAGATCAACTTTCTTGTGTCGGTGATAACTAATTTTTATCAGAAATTATGAGCACAAATAAGGTAGGTATTTTTCTCTCAACATAGTTTATTGTATACTCAATAACCATGAACATACATAAGGTAAATATTTTTCTCTTAATATAATTTATTTCATTTTTAATTTTAGGATTCAAACTCGAGACAACTTAATTAAAAGACACAATCTACTATAATCACTTTATGCCAACCAATATTTGTAAAGAGTTTAAACATTTTATGTGTGCATTATACAAACCAATTACTAGTTACATGTAACTAAATTTTATAACGAATTATATATAAAAAATATTATATTTAAATATTTATAATATATTTAATTTGTATAAATAAATATTTTTAAACAAAACTTACATGTTAAATTTATGATAAGAAAAAAGTTATATTGTGACACAATATTATTTTTAATTACTAATAATTTACTTTGAAAATATTAAAAATTTATAAATAAATATAATAAATAAAAATTCAATTGAAGAAAAATATCCTATTAAAAATGCTTTCTTTAAAGAAGTCCCCTAATAACTGATTATGTTTAATATATAATAGTGGATTATTTTGGTCACGTATTTCTTTTAATTTTTGGACTAAAGTAAGTAAAATCTCATATCTGTAAAGATTTTTATTTTTTTTATTATTTTTTTTACTATCGAATACCATCATCCATAATTTGAGGAACCCATGGTGTCTCACTCTTGCCCTTTATTTTATTGAATAAATTCTATCAAAATAATTTTCTGCACGTCATGCATGACGTGTTTTCTTGATAGCGTGCCTCTTCTTCATTCAACTTATAATTATTTTTTTCCGAGCTTAGTTGAATAATTCATCCTCGCACGCATTCCAGTCAACGAGTGATTTTAGTTTCTACAATTTTTAATTGATCTTGTTTAGACTTTTAAAGTTTCTTGTATAAAAATAAATTATCAAGTATAATAAGGGTACATGTGTAATTCATTATTCCTTTAAAAAAAGTGTAATGCATTATTAATTTAAATAAATTAACATAGAAAAAATATATAATAAAAAAGTAACAGTTTTTTATTTTGTAATTTTTAATTTGTAAATCTACGAAAATCAATAATAAATTATACTTTTCTTCCATTTATATTAATTATTAGATGAAATTTTAGAGTTATACTTAATCATAACAATTAAATATAAGCAATTAAAAATAGTGAAATGAACATGATGGAATGGTGAAGTGTTTAGACATTATGTGTTCACATATTAAGAAAATAATTTATTTAGTGAACTTTGATATTGCACGAGGTGCGCCTTCAATGTATCGGGTGTTGTTCTATTTGAGGCTCTCTGTTTGATCACGTTCAATGTAGGATGGGTGATACAGAGCATGAGAAGAGAGACTTATCTCGGATTGGAACTGTGTCGAGCATGGTTGAATGACATTAGACGTGGGAGCTCTAGGAATTCTTTGACTTAGTGATGTTAGGCCCAATGTTGTTTGGCACCCAAAATGGCCAAGCTAGAGTTCTCTTTTTGGATTTTGCTAGGTGTCGAGATGGTGACATCAAGTGAGACTCAGGTAGAGACTCTTTACCTGAGATGGGCTTGAGCGTGGTGTTTTACTATGCCAAGCGTGAACTCACAGGGGCCTCTGCCTTAGCCACTTCGGGTGTGGGATGTGTAGTGTTAGGCGTGATCGAGGTAGAGAACTCTTTGCTTGGATGGCGCCAAGCACAAGGTAAGTAGCGTCATACATGAGTTGTTGAAGAAAAACATGATGATGAGGTTGATAAAGTGGTGATTTTCTTGTTGGTTTAAGTTGTTACATGCATGAATATGTGATGAATAAATTGAAATGTTGAAGTAGTATGTGATGATTTTATAGTGTGTTGATAGTTGAGAGGTGGATATGAGTCTTGAGTTACTTGTTAACAGTGTTGTATGTTGTCTATGGAGTTTAGTTGAATATATACCATGTGTTGTTGAGATGTTGATTGATTATAGAGTTGAATTTGAGATGTGAGTTGCAAAGTTATGTGTTGATTTTGTTGTTGTGTTGTAACTATAATGAGTTCTTGTGTTGTTGAGTTGTGTTGATCACTTAGAACTAGAAGAAATGTTTTTGAAAGTTGCATATTTCATTGTGTGGATATTGTATTGTGGTGTTCCAAGAGCCAAGTTGAAAACCTTCCTTGAGAAGTTGACCCTTGAAGTGGAGGCTATGTTGTTTCTCCTTTAGGACTTTGTTGGTGCTGTATGTGGGTAAGGTCAAGGCACACATGTATGAAGTGACCATAGTATGGGGGCCATGTCGAGTTATACTGATTACAAGTGAACAACCAAGTAAAGTACGAAGTTAAAAACTTAGTTCCTAATTAAATGAGTATTGAAAGGTTGTGGTATTTGGAGGATAGTTAGTGGGCTAATCTTATACGAGACTTGGTTAAGCTAGCTAATGTTATGGTAGGCTTGTACCCAACTGTTATACCCTAACAGTAGTACTATATTTCTTTGTTTAAGTGGTGACATCCGAGAAACTAGGTTGTTATGTTGTGGATTTATATCCAATTTGTTGTTGATCTAACAAGTCTAAAATGATCATTCTGTGTTGTCGGTTCAGTAAGATCAAGTCACTTAAACTGTTCATCTTGTGTTGTAGGAGATCTCCTAGTTGAAGTGTGTGATGATGCATATAGTTGTTGTGTTGAACATATGATGTATTGAGTTGAATGTGCTGTTCATATATTATGTTGAACTGAGATGATTTGTGATGATGTGTTGAATTGGAGTTGTGTTATGTTGAATTGTGTTGTTTTGTTGTGTTGTTGAAGTTGAGAAAATGATTTGATGTTTCCATGATGTATTTATGTTGTTTCTTTTTACTTTAACTTATCCTTGCATGTCTCCATATGGTGTGGATTATGATGATCATACGTGATATAGAAGCAGGGTAGGGAGGGTTAGAATGTTGCAGTGGAGGTCATACAAGGGCATTGGAGCTAGATGTTTTGGATGACTACCCATTAGTTGTAGGTTTGTATAATAGTGTAGTTGCTCAATTGACAATTTAAGATGTATAAATTATGTTATTGGATAATTGTATTTGTATTGCATCTATTTATTTAGTTGATATTCTTTTATATTTGTGCAATATAATATATGCTATAGTATTTGTACATCTATAATTTTAAGTTGAATATTTTCCATTGCTAGTAGTCATGTCTTACAGTGTATATAGAACAAGTCGAATCATTATAAAAGGTATGAATATTCAGAAAAAGAAATTAAAAGTGTAACATTTGGTTCAAAATTAAAAAATACACATGAATTAACTATTTAGTGTCATTTTAGTTCAAAATTTTTTAAAATTAAAAAATTATCAAATAATCTTATATCAATTTAACTAATTATTATTTTGATCCCTAAATAAATATTTCTATTATTATTTTAGCCACATACTTTATATTAACGTGATAGTGAATTTGGGCTTTCAAATTGTCAAAACAAGATGACCATTTACTGTATGTTAACATGAATTTTCGTAATTAATATTATGTATATATATATTTTAAAAAATTATAAAAATTTGTAAACTTAATTTATTCGATAATAGATTTTAATCAAATAAATGTATTATGAAAATTTAATACTACGGATGATAGAATAACTTTATAAAAATAACTTTATCCTACCTCTCCCTATCTCTCTCTTTATACATATTGTCAACTTTGTGTTAAAAAATTAAATGGAATACATATTCTCCAATATAGAAAATGAGGTACGTGTTATACCTATATATTATAAATGATCAGATATTTTTATACAAACGGGTCTTCATTATAAATATATATACTACCCACCACAGAGTTCAACTGCAAACTAGGAACTCACATCCTCTGACTTTTCCCTTCAGGCCACATAGAATATGGCAAGCACTCCAAGCATTCCATCACTCATAAAAGCTTGGGTCTACTATGAATATGGGAACATAGAAAAGATTCTCAAATTTGAATCTAACATACCTATACCACACATCAACGAGGATCAGGTGCTCATCAAGGTTGTGGCTGCAGGCCTTAATCCTATAGATTATAAGAGGGCTCTTGGCATTTTCAAGGACACTGACTCTCCCTTTCCTGTAAGCAGATTTTTCCATTTTGTTTCATGTGTAGTCAGTATTTTTTTTATTTTTTCATTTTGTATCGTTTGATGATGTGTTTGGTGTTGGAAATTAAGACTGCTCCAGGGTTTGATGTTGCTGGTGTGGTGGTAAGAGTGGGAAGTGAAGTGAGAAAATTCAAGGTGGGGGATGAAGTTTATGGTGATATCCATGAGTATGCTGTGCGTCCAAAATCCATTGGGACTTTGGCAGAGTATACTGTTGCTGAAGAGAAACTATTGGCTCATAAACCTTCCAATTTGACCTTTATTGATGCTGCTGCTATTCCTGCAGCCATCATCACCGCTTATCAAGCACTTGAAAAACTGGAATTCTCTGCTGGCAAATCTATTCTTGTTCTTGGAGGTGCTGGTGGAATTGGAACCCTTGTTATTCAGGTTTTATGTCTTTTGTCTTCACTGGTTAATTAATGTTAAAGATCTTATGTCAATTAATGAAATAGTCAAAGTAGCATACATAATTGAGACACAATTCTTATTTTAATAGATTAGTTACGTAGGATTGAGTTAATTCTAACCTTAAATTCTAGAACATAATTTTTTCAGAAGTTTTATTTATTCATCAAATCATATGATTTAATCCTATGTGAACCTTACTTCATGGATTTTTTTTTTATAAAAAAAATGAATTATATATGATCTAACTCAATTTTATAAAAATAGCAAGGAATATAAAGATTATTTCCTACTTTTATTCACTATATTGATAATATTATTCATTGATATGAAATCTCTAACAGGTTTGTTTACACAAATATTGTAACATAATTATAAAATATTAAATAATTTGTTGTGTATTTGACTATTTTTTGATGATGTAGCTCGCCAAGCACGTTTTTGGCGCATCTAAGGTTGCAGCCACTGCTAGTACTTTGAAACTGGATTTGTTAAGGAACTTAGGAGCAGACTTGCCAATTGATTATACAAAAGAGAATTTTGAAGAACTGGAAGAGAAGTTTGATGTAGTGTTCGATACAGTAGGTCAGTGTTGAAACTGAACATAAATTATTTGCTTTAATTTACATGAAATTAGTTGGATCATGTATATATAATACATAGATTTCATACTAATTAATATATTATTAATTATTATTACTGAAATTTAATTGATTGATTCCAAAACAGGAGAGAGTGGCAAGGCATTGAAGGCTATAAAAGAAGGGGGCAAAGCTTTGTCAATAGTACTACCTGTGTCTCCACCGGTTATCCCTTTCTTTGTCATTTCAAATGGTGCTGTGTTGGAGAAATTGCAACCTTACTTAGAAAGTGGGAAGGTGAAGGCAGTTTTGGATCCTAAGAGTCCCTTTCCATTTTCTCAGATTGTGGAAGCATTTGCATACTTGAAGACAAATAGAGCCATTGGGAAATTAGTCATAGATCAAATTCCATAAACATACATAACTATATATGCATATATATACCAAGTTCTGCTGTGCATTCTGACCTAATTTGTGTTATAATGGCAATATTAATATATGAGTGATTAGGGGAGAGAGAGCACAGCTTTAGCATTTTGTGTTCTAATAATGTCAGCATTGCTAGACAAGGGAGTTTGCTAATTGGTGGTAATAAAAGAATCTCGTATTAATTTGTGGATGCATTTGTGACGGTTTCTCATTTGAGTTCTGATTTGGATATAAGAAATGGTAGGTATAAGGCATGTGATCTCTCACTTGAGTCACTTCCATTTGAACTTGTAGTTTATGTCTTCTTTCGAGTTTGCAGTTCAACTGTCGTTTTTTTAGCAAAGAAAAACCTTTTCGATTGTTGCGTACATATGCTTCTCTCAATTAATCTATCTTTTTCAAATTTTACTTTGAAAGGCTGATCAAAAAAAAAAATTTCTCGTGAGATGTGGAAAGAATAAAATAATGAAGATTAAATATTTAATAATTGAACTAAACAATCATAATTATATTAGCCAACAGAAATCACATTTTGTGCATACAGATTAGTTCTTAGTTATAAAAAAAGATAACAATTATGAAAATAACAAAACTGATATATCAATAATTGAAAACACCTCCTCCACCAATCAAATTGCAAAACAAATAATAATCATTAACAAGAATTTTAACCAAACTCTGTTTTTCCCTGATTTAATATGAACCAGTATTCTTGCAGTGTATAATCTATTCTTATTCATAGTATTGGCATATATATTATCCAAAACTGCCTACAATCAACTTAAAGAATTCACCTTTCCATGCATGTAATGGCACTTCCTGACATCGTACCTATATTTTGTCACTTTAGCAAAACGACCCCTCAGATCTTATAGAAAAGATTCTGTATGTATAATATTTTCGGTCACCATCACCAATTTACATACATTCTCATTCTAAGTAAGTTTAATTAATACTATGTAACCACTCACAGGAATCACAACTAGGAAATTCAATCCTTCCTCTATTAATCTACCTTGCAACCTATACATTGTTTATAGGAAGTGAGCTCTTCAAACATACATAACAATTTTCTAACCACACCGCATCTTGATGATCCACTATGAAAAGTAATTGTCAAAAAATGGAGACAAGAAGTCTTCTATTGAAAGTTCCTAGTCCCCAATTCCTCCATCCTTGATATCAAAATGTCAAATGTTGGTTGTATTTGCAAAATGGACTCCAGTGCCTAAGTTAGTAGGTATTTGGACTTTGGAGCGTTTAAGTGTGTTCTGTAAGATTACTTACCTCATGAAGGTTTGATGTAGATATATTTATAGGTAAAGAATTATTACTATTAAAGATCTGGTCATTAAGTGCATTCATGAGTCATCTTGTAATGATCAAGCGTTATTCTTTGTAATGATTACAATGAGGGATTTGGCTAGACCAAAGAGTTTTCGGTCATACAAATTACTATTCAGTATTATTCCAGGAGTCGTTAACCGACCACATATTGAATCATTCGAGTACTTTTCTATAAACGGGACTGAGATGTTATTGATCCCGAGACCTCTCTAATACAAAAAGTTTTTCCTTCTACTCTTTTACTATACCTCATGCTCATTTTTTTTACCAGTAACTATTATTGTTCATCCTCCTCATCTCACTCTCTCAATAGTTTTAGAATTGGCTGGTTAATGACTTGGTTAAGACACTAAATTGATAAATTACTGATCGAACTAGCTAATAAATCAATAATTAAATTATGTGAATCGATATGATGCAAAATAATGTTTAAAGACATGTATATATTATTTGAGTGACATAATTACTAAAGACCAGTTGTGGGGTGTAATTAGAGACAAGGAAGTCGATTAAGAAGGGTGGAGGGACAAATTTTATAAATTAGAATTTATTCATTAAATATTAAATTTATAAAAAAAATATTCATAATTATATTCTTTTAAAATAATCCAAGAATATATAATACAAAATATATTTACATATAAAAAAAAGCCAACATATTTTTTTTAAAGACTTAAATCTTTATATAGAGTTTGTAAGTTTGCATCATTCAGAAATGGTAATAAATATCTTTTATTTATTAAACCAATATAAAGTGAATACTAATTAAAAAAATTGATTGTAAATATAATTATCTATAGTATTTAAAATAATAATATATAAAATGAAAACGCTATTAATATGCATGATTCCTTTTTTGGAGTAACTATGGTATTAGTGTGGAGAATCTACTTCTAAAAGTAGTGACTAATCTTTGCTAGAAATTGTGAGTGTACACAAGGTTGATATTTGATTCTCAACATATAGTTTATTTCATATTCAAGGTCAAGATTCAAACCTTAGATAATTTAACTAAAAGAAACAAGTAAGTTGTTAACACTATGTCAACCAAACTGTGGTTCTAACATGCATTGATAGAACTCCAAAACATCATGTTTGGAAGTATTTTTATACTTTTAAACATGGTGGATGTTTCAAGTGATACAAAGGATTAAAATAAAAAACTTAATAGTGACATTTGTTAAGAAATGTAACTTGCTAACTGTACCAACCTGGCTCAACGCCGAGCTCAACCGAGTTCATTAGACAATCTTGACCGAGGTGACCACCTGGTCAAACTAAAGTAAATACATTTAACGCTGAGGTGTTACATCGGGGAGAGGAGATTGGTAATACACCTCGGCATCCCAACAACATCGAACATGACTCAATTGACCATAACCCTCAGAAGATAACCATACCACAGTTACGCGGTTTCTGAGAAAACAACCATAGGTAATGATATAAGAAATATATGAGATCAGATAGATAACCTAGAACATCTTTCAATTGAACCCTGTGCCCCAGAGGAACGTATATTTTTCAAGGTACCTACATCGCCTCTGTATGTATATATGTATCAATGCGTGTTCAGAGATTTGGGGGTAGTAATCCCTTTCACCTCGTTTGAGTGTGAGTTCCTAAAAAAGATTAATGTAGCACCAAGTCAATTAAATCCCAATAGCTGGGGATTTCTGCGTGCTTTCCAAATTTTGTGCTCGGTAATGGGGATGAATCCGAGTTTGGGAACTTTCATGCACTTTTATCAATTGAAATTAGGGGAGCCACCCTTCGGGTGGATATCGCTGAGTGGGAGCTCGAATGGGGGGTTGTTCCAAATTTTTTCCCAATCATATAAAAATTTCAAAGAAGAGTTTTTTAAAGTGCAATGTTTACATAACGATGCGAACTCGGACTCAATTTTCCACTCAAATGGTGAACCAAATTTTTTGCTGAGTTGGCAATCAGAACCTATAAGATTCTCTGGGTCAGAAGGTTTAGTATTGTCGGTGGAAGAGAAGAAGAATATAGAGAGATTGGAAGGGCTAGCTCGGCCGTTAGAAAGTAAAACTATTCTGTTGCTTGCGAGATCAAAAAATTCGCAAGACGATCTAGAGAATAAGTATGACAAAATAATATCTGAACTTAATCAAAAGTATATGTATAGATGAATGTGTTATGTATTGTTATGATGTGCAGGGATCATGGGAAGGAGTAAATGGAGAGAGTTAAAGGCTAAACATGGGTCCAAAGAGTTAGAAGTTATTAACGTGGACAACATACAGGAAAAAGAGAAATTGGAGACAAAGAAGAAAAAGCAACGAGTTGAGGATAAAAATGTGGATGCAAGTCGTCCGAAGTTGGCTCAAACTGAAGTCAATATGGGAGAAAAAGATGCAAAATTAAGTCATCTATCTGAGGATTCAGGTCGTCCAACTGTTGCGATGTGACCATTCCGAGTTCCTCAACATCGGACGCTGGTCACCAAAAGGGAAAGGATCCAACAATGGTGATCCTTGATGAAGAAACAATAAGTGGCCTCATATCCTTTTGGAAACAAGATCATTATACTGAAGTGATTTGAAAATTGAATAACATATATTGAATTGATTTCCTCTTTGTTTTGCAAACATTGAAATCAAAAGAGACAACCAATCTGATCTCCTCGGACGATACAATGTCGGAACTACAAAAGGCAATTGCGCAGCTCGGCTTCTCTTCTCCGATACCACAAGGAGGATCATCTCAAGGTGGTCAGACAAGTCGTCCTCGGACATTAGATCAAAGATATGATTCTAATCATCCATTGGAGAGATTAGATCATGTGAGTATGTCTCCAGATGTCACCTCGTTTTGGAGTGCCAAGTTAACAGTAGATGTATTTTATAAAGAGGATCGTGCGCATATTGCCGATAAGGCATTAATTGAGAAAGTGGGTCCTGTTGAGGGATTGGATTCGGTTGAAGTTTTTCTGCAAAGATCTATAGCAGTGGTTGATCACTAGAAGAAAAGGTGGAGAAAAAATATAGAGCAAATGGATAAGTTAAAGATGGAGAATATGAAAGTTGGATCGTTGAGTGCCGAGTTGAATGATGTAAAGGGGAAATTTGTGGAAACCAACAAGGCGTTTGAAATATCACTTCGATCAAACAAATCGGACTCAACGAAAGTAGAGGAACTGTTGAATAAAGTAAAAAGTTTGGAGGAAGAGAAGGAGAAAAAAGAAAAAGAGAATGCTGAGTTGAGAGTAAAAGTCAAAGAAAATAATGAAAAAGAGAAGGAAAATGCTAAGCTGAAGAAGAAGTTGGAGGAACAAAATCGTCTGACCTCGAAGCTGCACGAGGAGTTGCAAAGATTAAAAGAGCAGAATAAAGCTTGTCAGGAAGTGATAGTTGCTGATGTGGAAAAAGCCACAGACTTGGAAAAGAAAAATAATAAGTTAAGTAAAGATCTGGAGAACCTCGAGTTGCATGTGATAGCGGAGCATATGAAAGGATTTGCCAAGGCTCTTTGTCAAATCAAGATAGTATCTCCAGAGATCAATCTTCGTGATCTAGTCGTCAACAAGGATGTGTGGGACGGAAAATTAATCAACGAAGACGATATGCCTGATGATGTTAGCGGTGAAGACTGATGCGAAAGAATAAAAATTGTAATAGTGCGTTGTAGGGGCTATGTTTTGCTGTTGTTTTACTTTGTTCTTGTTTTTTTTTTGTATGAGACACATTTTGCTTCTTGGGAAGAAAATTATTAAGTTTAATGTAGCAATGATAACGTTTGACTTCTATATGGGTTTTTTGCGGATAAATAGAATTTTGCAAGCTATAAGTTATAATGAATTTGGTGTGAGGTAAGATGAGTCATATGAAACGTATGTAACGATGATGTAATCATAAGAGGTTGAAATTTGGGTAACCTTTATTAACTTTGGCTCAAACTTGGCCAAGTTTGAATTTGGGTAACCTTTATTAACTTTTGGCTCAGACTCGGCCAAGTTTGTTGAGTAACTTTTACTATTAACTTTGGCTTAGACTTGGCCAAGTTTGTTGACATTGGCTCAAACTTGGCCGAATTTAATTTATTAAGTATTAGGCTCAGGCTTGGCCAATTTTAATTACATCGGCTCAAACTTGGCCGAGATTTAATTTATTAAGTATTAGGCTCAGACTTGGCCAATTTTGGTTACATCAGCTCAAACTTGGCCAAGTTTATTAATATTGAATGAATTTCAAGTAATTCCTGGGGCAGAGACTGTAATAGTTAAATAGAATGAAAGAGGAAGAAATAAGTCAAGAGAAGAGAGAATGTATATTATAAGATTGGATATCAATTACATCTCTCCTACTTCCCTAGGTATGCCTCGTTAAAACCTCTTCAGCCAAAACCCTTTTTTTTATCTGGGAAAAAAGACTAAAGTAGGAAAAAGAGTACAATACCTGGGTTTACATATTTCAGCTATAATAAAATTTCAAATGAGTAGCATTCCAAGTTCTTGGGATAACTTTTCCATCCAATTCTATCAGTCTGTATGCACCATTGTGCAGACATTCCGAGATTCGGAAAGGGCCTTCCCAATTAGCTACGAATTTCCCCACTGATGTGTCTTTTCTAGCTTCTCCAACAGCTCTCCAAACAAGGTCCCCTTCTCGGAAAGATCTCGGCTTAAGCTTGGAATTGTATCTCCGAGATGATATGAGCTTGCATGCCTCTTCTTGAACTTGGGCGCACTGTCTGATTTCATCTATGAGGTCGAGGTCAATTCTCAGGGCTTCTGTATTTTGAGTTGTATCAAAAGTTAGTTGTCGATGACTCGGCTCCCTGACCTTTACTAGTATCATGGAATCAGACCCATAAGTTAACTTATATAGGGTTTCTTGAGTGGTAGTCTGTGGTGTGCAATGATAGGCCCACAAAACACCAGGGAGCTCGTCCACCCATTCTTCTTTTGATGAGCCAAGTCTTTTCCTGAGTTCTCTAAGGATAACCTTGTTGGCAACTTCAACCTGACCATTTGTTTGTGGGTGTTCAACCGAAGTAACTTTGTGATTGATCCTGAGTTGCCTCAAAAATTACTCATAATTTTTATCAACAAACTGCTTTCCATTGTCAGTGGTTATAGCATGAGGTAATCCATACCTACAGATAATTTTCTTCCACGTAAATCTTTGAACATTGGTTGTAGTGATCTTTGCTAGGGCTTCAGCTTCAATCCATTTTGTGAAGTAATCAATGCCAACTAATAAGAACTTTAGTTGACCTTTGGCTATTGGGAAAGGACCAAGAATATTCATTCCCCACCAGGCAAAGGGCCATGCTGACTGCATGGAATGCAGAGTTGTTGGAGGTAACTAATGTAGATTGCCAAACTCTTGGCAGGCCTTACACTTATGTACATATGACTTGCAATTCGATCTCATACACTACTAGAAAAATTCATATTTGTGACGAATTTTGTGGATAAGATTTTAAGTTAGTATTTTATTAATGGTTGATATTAGAAAATAGAACAAGGATAAATACATTTTTTTGAATTTTATATCTTTGATTTAAGATAAATAAATATATTAAATTATTTAATAATTTATTTATGGATCTATGGATAGAAATTTTTTTTAAAAAAACAAATAGATCCAAAATGAAACTCAAACAAGACACACAAGAACACAAAGATAACAAGACAAACGGACCAAAAAAAATTAAGGACACTTATCTCCTTGAAGAACCTTGCTCTTGATACCAAAAATGATGGCAAAAACTAGGAGAAGTGATAGGTGTTCTTCTCCTCAGATTCACCAAAGCTTGAACCTCTTCAATGGAGCTTGAAACCGAATGGATGAACACTTGAAATGGAGGAGTTTCTCGGATTAGAATAGCCTAGACTAAGGAAGGAAGTACCCTAGCTTAAGGCTCAAAGGATTGCTCACTTCAAAAGGTAGGAACTAGGTAAGTTTCCTAGGGTTTTTGAAGGCAATATCTCAGTGACTTTTGGAAGAAACTTGGCAAAGAAATGCTCTCAAATTTCTGAAGTTCAAAAGTGATTACAATGTGTGAAGGAGGAAGCTTATATGGATCTAGAATTAGGGACACTTGGCGCCAATGTGGGGGTTTCACATATGGCGCCAAGTTTTGAATTCAAATTTTGAATTTGAATTCAAAACTTAACTGACATGCACAAGTCCGGTTCACACTAGTGCTAGGTGTATTTAGGTTTGATTTAGTGTGCATTTAGGGTTGAATTTGAGTCACACATGTTCAGCCAAGGTGGCGCCATACATGTGACTCAAAATGCAACTTAAATGCATGCTAAATTAAACCTAGTTTTGCCTAATCCAATTAAACTAATAATCCTCCTTAAATCATCTAATGACCTAAATACAATGGTCAAAGAAATACAATGAATAGGAAAAATTACAAGAAAAAGAATGAGCCCAATATTGGGTATCAAAAGCCCAAAGCCCATGAAGCCCAATTACAAGCCCAAAGTTCACAAACCCTAATCTATGGTCAAAATACAAGACCAAAAACAAAGTAACTTCCTACTCTATGAATGTACAATAAAACATGGTGTTTAATCAAGTAAAGCCCAAGTGAGAAGCACCCTAGGCCAACTAAGCCCATTGGGCCCACTAAGCTCTAAAGCAGACAATTCTTCAAGTAATCTCCTGGCCATAGCTCTAGTGGTTGGACCCTTGGTCCATGCTCTTCCATCATTGTATATGGCTTTAACCTAATAACTCCTCTTGATCTACTACCCCTTCCTAATACTCCTTCGTTGTTTCACAAAGAAGGTGTATCTAGGGCAGATTTTATTAAGAAATATCATGAAAAGATCAAGAGCCAAATTGAAAAGCAAACACAAAAATATGCCAAATACAATAACAAAGGAAGAAAGAAAATCACTTTTGAGGTTGGGGATTAGGTTTGGCTTCATTTGAGGAAGGATAGATTTCCCACTCAAAGGATGTCAAAACTAAACCCTAGGGGAGATGGACCATTCCAAGTCCTTCACAAAATAAATGACAATGCATATCAATTAGACCTTCCTTCTAAGTATGACATTAGCTAATCTTTTAATGTTTGTGATCTCACACCATTTTTAGGAGCTCAGGATATGGATGAAGATTTTAATCTGATGACAGATGCTTCTCAAGAAGGAGGGGATGATGGAGGACCATCCTTGAGGATACATGTGGGCTCCATCACTAGGTCCATGGCTAGGAGAATGGAAGAGGAGGAGGGATCTCACCCACCAAAGGACACCCTCCTCATGATCATAGAGTATTAATACTCTCCTAAGCTTCATTAGTATAGGGTTTATCTTATTTTCCAATTTTACCCTTGTATTTTGGGGCACTTAGAAATTACGGCTTTATTTTCTTAAGTGATATAAGTGTGTGGCTGTGACAATAATGGATCTTTTGGGCTAAGGTGAGCATTGACCCAAGTGGAAGGGCACCTAGGTTGCATATTCTCAACATGCACCTAGATGTAGCTTAGCTTCACCCAAAAAGGTACCTTTTTTAGGGTTACTTGTGCGACACTTTTAGGGTTACATGTGGGTGTCATTTGGAGTGCATTTCCTTCTCATTTAGGAAAGGAATGATCATCCAATGATGACCTAGCCGTCACACTTCACTAGGTCATGACCTCACCCCCACACTTATAAATACCTTAGGACCCACCTCTTGTAAACACTTTGGAAATTATCATATTGAGTAAGCCTTTGAGCCTTGATATTCTCCTTAGTCTCCCTTGGCTATTTTTGGCCAAACCCTACCATCTCTACCTTGAGAGAAAAACCCTAGAAGTGGCCTTCATCACCATGAAGTGAGCCAACCCTAGAGTGCACCTTCTCAAGCCTTTCATCAAACACCTTCTACCCAACCTCCAAATCCTTCCATTCCTTCATCAACCTCCTTAAAACCTCATGCCACCTTTGAAGAACTTGATCCTTGGAGTAAGGCATCCTCTTCCTTGTTCATCATCTCATGTCCATGCAAGTAAGGATGCCTAAAAAAAAATCATTTTCTCTGTGTTTTCACAGCTAATAAAATGAGTCGACAAAATTCAAACCCCAGTAAATTTATTTGATTTTATTCTCCGAATATTGGGAAAACATTTAGAAGCATCATTTTGAAATTAGGCGAAAATTTCCCGCCTTTGCTGCCAAAGCTTCCAGATATACGCAGCAAACACCGATTGTGGTTCCGAATTCGAATTCAAATTCAAATCTGCACTCTCTCTTTGTTCCCCCCTGGACCAGCGAAACGGCGGCGTTTGGGGTTCCGATCTCTGAAACCCTTTCCCTCGGGCGCGATGTACATCAAGGAGATATGCTTGGAAGGGTTCAAGTCGTACGCGAGCCGCACCATGGTTCCGGGGTTCGACCCCATCTTCAACGCCATCACCGGCTTGAACGGTTCCGGCAAGTCCAACATCCTTGACTCGATCTGCTTCGTCCTCGGCATCACCAACTTGCAGCAGGTTAGGGCTTCCAACCTCCAGGAGCTCGTCTACAAGCAGGGCCAAGCCGGAATCACCAAAGCCACCGTCTCCATCGTCTTCGACAATTCCGATAGGTCCAGAAGCCCTCTCGGATACGAACAAGAACCTCGAGCAAACTAATCAAGTACTTCACTACTAGTCGAACTTTAGTGTGTTGATTTTTTTAGTTTTGTCTCTATATTTCGGGTTTATTTGTCTCTGGTGCTTTAATTTTTCCATTTTAACATTTTTTTCAAGTTATGTATGATCTAATTTTGCAGTTTTTGCTTGAAATACTGTTTATTTATTTATTTTTTAAAATTTTTGTTTTAGTATTATCTGTAAATTTCGTGTTTATTTGTCTTTGATGCTTTGGGTTTCTGACTTTGTGTTTGGTTGGAAGGAAATTGGGAGACAGTGAAGATTTTTTTATAAAATTTTTATTGTTTGGTTTGATTTTTTATTTTATCTAATTTTAACTTCCCTTTAGTATTGGAGGGATTTGAAAGGGCGAGGAGGGGGTGGGTTATGTTTCCCTTTTTAGGTTGTTTTTGGCGGGGAGGATTAATTTTGGGTTGAGTTTAATAGTTATTTGAATTGAATTTTTTGGCGAGGAGGATTATGTTTCCAGTTTTTCTTTCATTTTATTTTTGTTTTGTGTTTAAAATAAACATTACTTTTTTGAGGAAGACCTCCGTTTTGATATTTGTTTTCCTTTAGCATCAAGGTTGGAAATATTTATAAAACATTTCCTAATTTATTTGGTAGTCCAAAGTTTTGTGTGCCTTGGTGAACTTTTAGGCCTCAAACTAAACTGTGACATTATATTTGAATTATTCAAGCATCCTTTGTTGGAATTTCATTTCCCAGTAGACGGCTCTGCCAAATTTGGTGTTAACATTTCTTCTGATAAATAATTAGAATGTTGTATTTTGTGGAATTGTGTTGCAGGTGTTGCTGGTTTTGGGTGCTGCTGGAAGTGTGGGCCTTGCTGCTGTGCAAATAGACAGTTACCTATTAATGAACTGTTCTTGCCTTGCTTTGGATGGACTGAATAATGAGAATGAGTCTTTTCATTTCTGGTGCAAATTGGATAAATGAACTGATTGATTGTGGAGTGAGTATAATAAGAATATTGATAAAAATACTTAATTCCAATATAGATCCTCTGCATCCAACATGCAGCCAAATCACGACAGTTGATTAGTTATTGCACAATGATTAAATGAGAAAATTTGATTAATGATCCAGATTTTTGCTGTAGGGAACATCCTGCTGTAGAGGCAGGAGAGAATACATGTTTCTTATTTTTGGTTTAGTTTGATTTTCCTATGTTGTTTGATTATTTGTAACCATGGATGGGCACAAGAAGAAGTTAGCTTCATTCTTCAGATTCATTTTTTAATTTATGTATCCTGTACATGTAGCTTTATAATTTATAGTATGAATATTAACATCTAATCAGCTCTGTACCAGGATTACTTGGTTGTATGTTATGTTAATATATATATATATAT